TCTTCCCAGACCGGTGCACGAACCCGTGTCCCCTGCAGCGGCAGGCGGACTCTCAACCACTGCGCCACCAGCGAAGCCCCGTCATTCTTGATTTGGATAGAATTATCACTTTTCAAAATCACAAAGCTGGTATCTTTCTTGATTTTAATTATCTTTTCTTATTCACATCAACAGCACAAAAATTGAACACCCAATATGTATTTTTACAACAATTACTTCCTCTGTCTTTGGTACTCATAGCCTAGTTGCCAGGCACAAAGCACCTCATATTTTACAGGAACAACCTTGTACTCTTCTGGCCTTTGGGTTTTTTTTCCATTCGATACATTCTCCACCCTAGAGCTGGAGTGATCTTTGTAAAATCCTAATCTGCTTATACTTCACAAGTAAAAACTCCTCAGTGGCTTCCCATTTCAGTCATCATACATTTTACCTTTCCTTTACGTGGCTGAAACCCTACATATGCCTAACTGCATCATGCTCCAACTCCTGTCCTACATGCCACCTCCCATCTGATTTCACATTCTGAAATCAGAATGTGCCATATTCTTGCTTGCTCTAGATCTTTAGATATGTTATTTGTTCTGCCTTAAACATCTAGTTGCCTAACTCATCTAACATTTTCTCCCCTGTCCTAGCTGACTTTACCTGACTAATCCCTAATCATCCCTTTAGACTCAGCAGAGATATAATTTTATCTGGAAAGCCTTTCTTGAAGTCCTTCAGAACAAATCTGTTATGCACACCCACTGTATTACTAACTTGTGGGGCAGTCAGATCTCCAAAGGACTGTCCATAGCAAATGTTCAATAATTATTTAACAGATGAATGAATAAAAGGATAAATGAATGAAAAAATGAATAAAACTTTGAATACAGTATTAATGTTTCAGTGAGCAAAGTTTAGTTTTAGCCCTTTGGAACTTGGCATATTGGTTAAACTATGTGCACATATCCCAGCTCTGGCCAACTTTCTATGATTAAAACCATAAATTAAAGAAGCAACTTGCTGACACTTTGTCAGCATTCAATCAACTCCCCCCACTGATTATCTAATTTTCTTCTCAAATAAATTTTCTCCTTCCACACTCCCTCAGGCAATAGACTGAGTAAACAGATGAACCTTGGACTGAATTCTGTAGGACATTTAGACTCTTTTAATATAGAAAACCAGTTTCAAAGTTTAAAAATTCACATTCTTAATTCATTTGTATTTATATCGCTGCACCTGTGAATGAAATAACCATCACAATCTAATTCTGTCATTGGTAGATTAGACATTTGTCTTAATTTTATCCATTAATAATTTACTTTGGTATTATAGATACGTAGGAGTTGGTATTTGGGTATATTCTTCATTGGTAATAAATATGTCCTGAAGGACAAGTCATCAAGTGACTTTATGAGCAGGAAAAAATTATAGCTTAGTATGTTCTAATTCTCATAACTAAGGTATTTAAGAGCTCCAGAGTAAATATATCTGGATGGCAGTAGGGTGAGTGCTGATTAATGAGCTCTTCTATGTGCAAAATGATAGATTTTATTATAATTACATAGCAAATAAATCTTAGGTATTAATATAAAAACTATATATGTCATTAATGCCATTAAAATCTTAGAATTTCATGTATGTCTCTTAGTAGTGACTAAATTGTGCATTGCACTAGAGTAGATATTCCCATTTAAATTTATTTAATTTATTTTTTATTGTTTATTTAAATGATGAGAGCTGTTTCCTCTAGAAAATAAATGATGCTGAAAGGGCACAGTAGCAGTTTTACTGAGTCCAGGAATAATCTGAGAAACAGATTCAAATAATACTTTTATTCTATTTATATATAATATATATGTATATATACATGTGTGTGTATACATACACACACACACACACACACACACACTCAGTGAAAGTAAGGCAAAAGTAATCTCTTAAACATTAATTTAGGCTTGAGGCACATTCTGCTCATTTTAATAGATGTTGAATGACAAGTTGATGGTAAAGATGATGGTTATGAGTTGAACTGTGTTCCCTTAAAATTCATATATTGAAATCCTAGCCCCAAGTACCTTGAAATACGATCTTATTTGTAAATATGGTCATTGCAGATGCAATTGGTTAAGATGAGGTCACACTGGAGTAGGGTGGGTCCCTAAATCAATATGACTGGTACCCTTATACAAAGAAAGACATCTGAAGAAAAGAGACACATACAGGAAGAAGACCACGTGAAAGCACAGTAATAATGCCATCTACAAGCCAGGAATGACAAAGATTGCCAGCAAACCACCAGAAGCTAGGAGAAAAGGATGGAACAGATTTTGCCGTATAGCCCTCAGAAGAGACCAACCCTGCCAACATACTGATCTTAGACTTCTAGCCTTGAGAACTTTGAGACAAATTTCTGTTGTCTAAGCCAACTGGTTTGTGGTACATTGTTACAAGCAGCCCAAGCAATTAATACAATGACTAAATTCCTATGATGTTTTATATGTATTATAACTGGCTAAGGGAAAATAATTGAGCTGAGATCTAAGCGCCTTAGTCAAAGAGGTGTTACTTTTCTTTAGTCAAGGATAATCAGGGCATGATTAGCTTGAGCAACATGCATGCAATGGTATGAGGTGCACATCAATCTTCTGTATGTGAGTGTTAATCGGAATGATCATCTGTGCTTGCTCTGTCTCTTCAAATTATGTTTCAGTCCTTTTAGTAAGCCTTGTAATTTTTCTTGATAGCAGGGCATGATGTCCTGGGTAAAAGAAACTCCTTAACTAGGCCTCTAGTAAAGTGGTGAAAAAGTGTGGGGAGGGGGAATCATTCTACTGCCCTATGATTAGGTCTGTCTCTTAGTAAGCCTATGCCTTTGAAATGTGAACTTCACAAGTGCCACTCAGTGTTTTCTCTCTCCCTTAGTTGGGGCAGGATGCTAAAGTAGACTCTAGATGGAAATATGGAAATTTCCCTTCTCCCACATGGAAGGCTAGAGTGGGCTGGAGTTGGGTATTTCCCTCCCCCTACATCTGTTATGCTCTGATAATAATCCAGCAGGTTAGGCTTTGGTTAATTCGTTTCTCCTTGTTAAGAACAAAGTGCTCTGGCATATTTCAAAATGGTTCCTTTCCCCTTACCCCTGTTGGAAACATCAGGAGATCTTTCTATTGTATTTACTGTGAGAACCTGGTAGTAAATCCTCCCAAATTGTAGGAGCCTTTCTATGAAAAGATTCCCATGGAGTTTTCAACTCTCACTGTTGTCCACCCTGAGCCTCCAGAAATTCAGCAATTACAGTTCGGGTTTCCCTATGCCAGCACTGGTTCTTGTGGAAGTTTACACTCATCTCCAGTGAGCCA